CCCCCCCGCGCGGTAGCAAAACGGGGCCGATCGGGGCCTTTTCCTCAAAAGGGGCCGGCCTCATCCCCGGGGGAAAAGGGGGACGGGGAAGAGGCAGCAGGGCTGCCCGCTGCCCCCCCCGGGCGGGAGTAACAAAAGAGAGCACACAAGCTGGTTCGTTTGGTTTGGATTTTCTTTCTTTTTTTCTCCTTTGTTTTTTTTTTTTTGCGCTTTTTGAAGGCTGGTCAAGAGGTAGGATAGAAAGATTTGTTTTTTGGCCTCTGAACATTGAAAAATACTTCACCCAGCTGGTCCTGGCGGCTACGCGGGAGCCGTGGCAGAGCCCGACGCCTACACATACAACGCTACGGTTTTCACAGCTCTAAATGTACATGTAAAAAATCAAGTCACCTTACTCTACCCGAGTAAAATTCACTAACAGTAAACAGCGAGACTGATTCGTTTTCTACTTACAACTTTGCGTTTTTGTACAGTTACGTAAAAACAAGAGAAGATGACTTTTGTATTCCAAAACTAACAAAGTGTATATTTGAGATCCACATGCAAAAAAACAAATTAAAAATCTTATGCATAAATCATGTCCAAGGACTCTGCATCCTACCTTTAAATAAGGAAACGTACAAAGTTTGCTAACTTTTGTGCAAAATATTAATTTGCTAAAATATTTTACATAATCGGTACATGTAAATGTAGAAATTGATAAGATAAAAAACAAGCTGGTTCATAGGTATTTGTCACATTTTAGTAATAGTTGTAACAGGATTTTTTTTTTTTTTTTACATTTCCCAGTACACATCACAAAGTTTTTCACCAAAGATAAAAATCCTTTAGAACAAGTCCAACAGGGATTTCTCTAGGCACCTTCTCACATAGAACACAATGTGAATAAAGTTAGATCCATCTGAGCATTTTGCGGACAATTTAGCACTGAAGATCACACTTCCCCGTTTCATGATAATTTAGGTAACTGTCATAAGGCAAAGACAACTCTGAAAAAATGTTTCGATACAAAATGATGTAAACTAATAATTTATAGCTGAAAACCCGGTATAACAAAAGTGGAGAGGTGGACGCTTTATACAATAGGCTATTTTAAAACAGACTTGTGCAAAGGCTGAAGACAAAGCATCTTCAGAATTCACACGGTTTTGGCTTTTTTTGTACAACTGCTTATAATACATTTTAAATCATTAGGAATGCAAACTAAAACTGCACGCTACTTCAGAGGAAAAAAAGTTTGACATTGTGCAATTTTCTGCCCCAATCTTAAGTGGCAGTAGTCCCTGCATTTGCTGTGTTTCAAACGTGGATCTTGAGAAACACATATCAAAAAGGAGGAAAAGAAGGCAAAAGTTGGCAGACATCCAGCATCTAGTTTTTTGTGTGACTTTTTTTGTTTCGAACAATGTGGATGACAGTTTCATGATTTAAAAAAATGCTTTTTTTTCTTTTTTGCTTAAATAAATACATTGTATCTGACACTTGCACTGACTTGATCTGGTAAATCTGTTCGGTAAACAAAGGCTTTACAACACTCCTTGTAGCCTCAAGCCCACCAGTGTTTGGTTACAGAGTCTTTTTCTCACTGCGTTTCGAAACCTGCCATGCGATATCCAGTTTGATTAGTTATCACGCTTCCGTTCTGCCCTTGAGGTGGTTGAACTCCATAGTTCGCTCCCATCCACGCTGCTGAAGACTGCGTCTGACTGTTTGGGGAACGGAGGGAATTTAATCCGTTAGAAAAGCACTTCAGTTCTGAGGGAGAACGTACATAGAGCAAGAGCAAGAGCAGACACGGGAGAACTAGTTACTCCCATCTCGGCCTAGAGCGATGCCACCTAGGAACCGTACGCCGTTTCCCGATGCATAACCCAAGCCAAGCAACAAAGTTTAAGGTCAGAATTCGAGACAGTAGGCCGCAACCAATTTTTAAGGGTATGACATTTTTCTAACCAGCAAGACGAACAAGGATGTTGGCTGGAGGAAATAATCCCTCTATTGGCCGTGATGTACCAGGCAAGACGGATCAATGAGGGTTGCTGCCGGCAGGCCTCCCAGGAAGAGCCATTTCGCTGTAGCTTAGAAGCCAACCAATCACTGCAGTGATCCGTAATCACTGCTCGCATTTGAGTTGCGTTTAATATCCTTTGCTCAGGAACGAGACCTACCGGCATCAAGTAACAGCAGCTGAATGAAAGAATTTTGCACTGACTGCCCACCTCGCAAATTCTGAATTTGGAAAGAACAAAACGTGACTCTCTCAAAAGTTCAAGACAAATTTTAAAGGTACAGTAGCTTGACTGGAAAACGCAAATTTAAGTGCTGCTCTCTAAAGGCAGGTTTTTGAAGACAGCAATACCCTTCTTCACGTCCCCAAATACACGTCTGCTGCAGACATCATTACGTGACCTCTCCGAGTAACAAAGGACCAGAACTTCACGGCAGCTTTTACGACGCTGTGGACTTGGAATTTTCATCTCCCCCTTAGGAAAACCCCATCGCTTGGATTTTACTTGCGGCATGAAAGCAAATACTCACTTAAATCCTTGCTGATTCCACGCTTGCCCATACATCCCATATGCAGGGACTTGCCAGCCGTTCGGCATGTACTGCCCAATCTGCGCGTTTCCATACCACTGACCCCACTGCCCGTAAGCTTGTGGATATCCAATTTGATTCTGCAAGTACAAACACCCAAGTATCAAGCAGCGCCTAAGAAAGCAGGCATTTACATCAACCCAAGACACACCAGCCTGGAGAGCCTGCCTTCGATCAAGAACTTACAAGATCGCTTGCTAAAGTAACGCTGAAACGGAAACGCAGACATTTAGTAGTTGGACATCGCTTTTAAGCTAGCAAGCGTTTGACGACCAGAGTGCCTGTTTGCCTCCCCAACGAGCAGTGCAAGCCGTTGTCTCGAACGTCAGAACCTTTCCACAGAGCTCCAGGAAACAGGAACAGTGGTAACAGTAACAGTAGTCTCTGTGCTCATGACAGAGAAGATGCACCGCGTTCTGGGCAATACTTTGAAAGCTCTCTCCAGAATTTTACACCACCGCTTTTATATAGCAAGATCCTGCAAGTTCAAAGGATTTAAAATGTTCGATTATACTTCGGAGAAATACCCACTGCTGGAACAAGAGCTAACGCAGAGGTCACGTTTGCTGCATCGGGTCTCTAGTCAGCACGCACGCAGCCTTTACGGCCAATTATCAGGTTTCTATCAAAGACAGTAACTTTAAACCATCATCTTCAAAGTTAGCATAGGAATAATTCTGACCTGCTGGACTGGACTGATCATGTCTGGTGTTTCCTTGCCCCAGTAGCACTTCACTACGTGGCCTTCTATAGTTGTCCCATTGACAGAAACAATTGCATGTGCAGCACTCTCGTGGGAATTAAACCTGTTGCAATACAAGTCAGGCCAATATAAACAAATCACTCAATGAGCAACAGCTAGAAGTAACCCCGAGAGAGACTTCCCGCTAACAGCGGCACAGAATTCTGCAAGGTTCTGTAAAAATACGAGTCTGACTACAGTGACTTCTTCCTGCCATCCTTGAAGCGGAAGGCAGACACTGCCAGGCTACTGGTTAGTTTTCCTTTCTCAGTATCATACTAAACTCATTCCACTCTCTCTCATAAGCAAGTTATAATATGTGCCAGCATGGAGAGCAAGTCATTTACAACTGCTTTTATTACCTGGGGCCGGGTCAACCAAGAGGTAAGGATGCTTCTGGAAACAACGCTGAAACCGTACCGTCTGCCCCAGTATCTCAACGGTAAAATTATTAACAAAAAGGGGGGTGGGGCGGATTAAGATCTATTACGATTAAGCATACTGCACCATTGATAACTAATTGAAGACTAGCAAAACCAGTTCATATTTTAAATATCGATACCCTTTGTCAGAAACAAAGAGGATCCTGACAGATCACACCTCTGGCTCAAGGCATCAGAGGATGCAGCTATAAACGCCGCATTGTTCTTTAACTACCACAGGTTGTTTACACTGGGCTAAGCTTTTTCTCTACCAGCTCCAAAAGCACTTCCGGATGTGATTCACTCACAGATCAGGCTGCAGTTACAGAACACAGCTGTAAAGCCCACTCTTAAGCTGGGTACACACCAACCAATATTATACCACAAACAAAGGCATGAGAGCCCAGAATTCTTATTGATTTATCAATATGCTATCCTCTGTAGCAAACTAGACGACAACCTACCGTACAAAGGAGTATCCTTTATCTGGGAAGACTCGAATTTCCATTATCTGCCCGAATGGAGAAAAGGTCTGGCGCATTAGCTGTTCTGAAGCAGGAAGAAGTAAGTTGCCAAAATTAGATGACTGCAATACGTGCGCAAATACTCTAGGGACATTCAAAGTGTCGATATTTTGAAGACACCATACCTGTCAGCCCCGAAGTAACACCTCCACAGTATACAGTGCAGTTGCTTGGACTGGACTGATTGACCACTTCATCGTAAGATAGTTGTTTGGTATTTGCTTAAAGAAATTTTAAAAAGCTTTTAAGTTGATCAGAAACACATTACACACATTTGAATCCCATCCTAACAGGCCTACAGTAAAGAATCAGGCTGCCAGAGCTTGCGACAAACATTAACGGCAGTAAACGTTTTGTCCTCTACGTCCTGGATCTGGCCGTCTATCTGACCCACAGGCAGTGCTGAATTAACATCTGGAACAGGCACTGTCCCTAGACTGTCACTGTATAAGAAGCAGAGCTGCAAGCTCCTGTTAAACACTAGCTTTTTTTCCCCTCTCATGCACACGAGGCAGCCGAGCACAAATTGCATGCACCATGAAAACAAAGGCACGGCAAAAGGGAAGGTAAGTCCGTAACACATGATCTCCAGCAGTGGCCACAAATTCCCATTATAGGACAGGTTGCTCATGACAGGGACACTACCGTTAAATAATTTAAGTTCATGTTTCAGGTTAGTCAAGTAGGTCAGATACACCTGAATTAAAAACTCTCTAAAGGAAATGCTTTCTTCAGATATAGTCCCGTTTGCTTTCTATCACAACCAGTAAGAGAAAAATCAAGGAAACTATGTTAAAAAAAATAAATAAAAATCCTGACTTTCTCGAGGAGAGGGGGGAAAAAAGGCAAGCTACCAAATTAAGTGTTTAGAAGGAAAAAAAACCAGCTGTTGGTGGTAATAATAAAATCATCATACCTAAGGAAGTTTCAAGAGTTTTGAAACTATTCAGGAGTCTTCACTTTTGAGTACCCACTTTCCCTTCTCCCAGAATCTCGAATGCTTAGCGCTAGCGAATTTCTCTTCCTCCCTAGGTACGTGGCAGGAGGTTTGGAAAGACATATAACTGAAAAACCTACATTCATAGGTACTCTTTGGAGCTGGAGGTTTTCTTGTCGCCCAGTTAGTTCTGATCTGCCTTCCACCGAGCCACTGACCACCCATCTGCTGAATAGCGTTCTCTGCATCCTGTCCACAAGAGAGGGAAAAGGGAAAAAACAGCCACGATCAGCAACTCTTCCTTTTGAGATACAACCACGTGAACGAAATCACCGAACGCCAACCGCATCTGACATCTGCAATTTGCCAAGAGGAATCACGCCTTACAGGTTGCCTACGCTTGCGTACCCAGTCTATGAAGTCGCAACCTATCAAGTCAAAGTTTTAGGAATGCTTCTTCACCAGAATCTGTACCAAATCCCATTAGTTCAGCTGGCAAGCAGCCCTCCAGGCAGATCACTAACCCCGGGCGGCCCAGAATTTTTGCTGTCAACTCGACGCAAACTGGCAGCATTTAACGCTCTGCCCTACAGTAAAATCTATTCCAAAAAGACCTGGACAGGTCCTTGTGGAAACCTGCGTGTTATCAATACCCTGGTCAGAAAGGAACTCTTCTTTATAAGAGCTCTAGATCCAGGCCCACTATTTCAATTTTCTTCCTGATGCTCCCTATCTTCCGCAGCTGGAAAAAAGAGCAAGCTACAAAGCCCCATAAAAGAGTCTCCCAAAATAAAAGGCACCCTGGAAACAAGGCAACTGAACATTTATAGATGCTTAAAAAGGTAATTTTTCTTTATTCAAAGCCCCGGCATGTCATAAAAGAAAAAAAATCCCTCCTCATATACAATAGACGTTTTCTTTGTCATTTCTGTACATTGTGCTTGTTTTGCTGTCGCTCACCATCAAGGACATCACACGCTTTAGAAACCCTAAAGGAAGGACTATTACACATAATAGACAGAAATACTTCCCTTTCAACAGGAAGGAAAACTGAAGCCGGTACAGTTAGGGACCAAAAATACTCATTCCACGTAACAGCTACTATTCAAAGTCATCAACCGCTTTTCAGAGGAATGCCAGACAGCGCTGCAGCTTACCCATTTATTGAAGAAGGAAACAAAGCCGTATCCCTTAGATTTTCCCGTTGCCATATCCTTAACCACTCGTGCATCTCTAAAAAAGCAGAAACAATAGGCAGTTTAGCATCTTAAAAAGACGACTTTAATAAAATGAAAACTTGAGTCACGCGTACAGCTTATTTTCACGTTTCACCTTTACTAAAGCAAACTGTTTATCGCACCAGCAACATAGTCAAAGCAAATCTTTTCTAAACAGAACTTTACTGCTGTTTTGCCAGGTAATAGCAAAATTAAACTTAATTTTTTAAACATGCAAATCAATAGCTTCTCTAAAAAAAGTATGTATGTACTTTTACAACAGTTGGCTCCCCGTTCAAAATGCTTTTACATATCGTTAAGACGCTAAGCATGGTCAAAGCAGCTACTCAAAAGAATCACTTAAGCCACTGTAGCTGACTAACATTAGCTGAATGGCTCTCTCTAACCACGCAATTCTTAAACTTGCTATTTGCCAACACATTCTACCTACTCATTAAAAGTATTAAATAGCAAAAATGAAAAAAGATAGGAATTAAAAGGCATACGTCGCCTGTTAACTGAATTCTTTAATTTTCTCAGGTCAATTCGTTACCCCCTTTTTGGACTGTGGGCAGCTGTAAATTTTGAGAAATTGACATTTTCAGAAATTATTGAAGAAAAGAAAACACTGAAACATTTACGTTTTAAACTACATATTACAAAGAATTTAAACTGCAATTGTAAAACAGCAATCAAACAGGACTGATTGGAAACTACAAGATATAAAAAAGCAAAAAATTTATAAAAGTAAATAAGAAAACTACAACGTTTGTCCACTGTGAACTGTAGCTTGTAGTTAGCCATGGCAATTCTGTCCATTCTTCAGAGACACTCTGCAAAATAACCAGAGCCCTATTATTTGAGATTGAGTTAAAAAGAGAACCCAGCTACAGTAGCTAAACCCCACTTGTGGAAAGTCAATCAATAGCGTTTCTCAGGCAATTTGCGCACAAGTCAGCCAAGGATCAAGCTGCTCTCATGTACAGGCCACCCTCTCCTCCCCTCCATCGCCCCACACAGACAAGCATTTAAAGACAATAAAATGAAATAAAACCAGTCAGAAAGTCATGCAATGTAACTTACGTCTGCATAAAATAACACCGTTCAGAGAAACTAGCGTAACATGTGCACAACATTTAGCATTCCAAGACTGGCAAGAAAAAGTCACAATGAAGAGCAGGTTTTTACGCGCCAGTTTTTAAAGCCTTACAGTAACCCCAAATACTATGTTCTAAGCCTAATTCCTGTACGCATAAAAGCCCATAAAAGCACTCGCAGCATCACTCAAAGGCCCAAGTGCAAGACCACTGAATGAAAAGTTACTTCTTTACTCCTAGTAGTAAAGGAATGCTACACTTTTTCCTCCTGCCCCAGTTTGAATTTGGGCAATACGTTACAAATTGCCTGAGAAGCGCCACTTCGTAATCTTAGGAGATCAGTTTGTTCTGAAGGGCCTAAAGAGGGAGGGGGGAGAAACTCATCTATACTTACCCTCAACCGAAAACTTTGAAAAAGACTTGAGAACAAGTGAAAACATGCGTACAGCAAGCATAAAAGGAAACCACAATGAAAGTGTGCTTTTACAGTGATTAAAAAAATCAGATGCAAAGAATTACCAAAATTTCTTATGTGCTAATCATGCAGTAGTTCAACCTTGATTTCATAAAACAAAACAAAAACAAAAAAACACAAAACTCAGTTTAATACCAATGAAGGCAATATTAAAAAATAAAAATAAAAAAAAAAATATCAGGAAATATTCCGTTAACACCATTTCCAGAAACTAGTCACTGACCAAGAGCAGTTAAACTCAAGCAACTTCATCCTACCCCTGAATAAACAGTAGCAGTCTTTTTTCAAGTTAAATGTAACGGGTATAAAATCGAGGTCCGTTCTCCTTTAACCCCTCAGATTTGGAACAAGAGTTCGTAAGAGTCATATAGGGAGAATTCCTACATCTACTGCTTTCACGGGATGAAGACAACTGTATTTCGTTTTGGATGGTCAATTTAAGCCAGGGCAAACTGCTGAAGCTTTCAAATTTTTAACTCTACAGCTGTGTGCCGAGTACCCCAAAAGCAGGAGCGCTACTCACACGCTTCCCCACCGCCACCAGGGAAGAGACACGTCACTTTTTGCAGAGCCTGGTAATCGGCTCCGTTACTACACAGCAACAGCTTTACGTCCAAAAAGCTCTTCTAGAACAAATGGGACAACGGGCAGGGGCCCAAGAAATGCAGACTGTGGTCCAGTGATAGGCATTTATTTTCTACTTCCCCAGCTGACATTCAGAACTTACTTTTTGCTTCAGGTTCATTTTTTTTGCCGTTTATTCGTTTAAGAGGACTGTACATTTAAAGTCACATCAGAAAGCAAAAACTGACTAGTTCAGGGGAAATTCTCTTTCAGCGCTCCATCACATTCACACCAACACGTCAGTCTACTACTAGCTCCCTTTCACACTCACTTCAGCAGCCAAGTGCCAGTTAAGACCTCCTTTAGAGTCCCTCATCCCTTCCATCCAGACCACATTTGGCCATGAGGATAAACGGACTCTCCTCGTGAGGCTGACCCTCTAATTTCCAAGGTAACAATTAAAAAGATGTAGTCAAGCATTATAGTTCTCTGAAGCAAGCCACATTCAGATCACATTTTTTTTTTTAAACTTTATCATAAGAGGAAATCAAGCTGGCATTAAAAGAATAAAATACTGGACTCTGAGGGAAAAAAACAAAAAACAAACTTACTTCAATTAAATGCTTCACTACACAACACTCCAAAGCACTCTACGTTCTCTTACATCACCATCAAGAAACTTCAATGTCCAGTACAGACAACACTACAAGGAAAATTAATGGTTTACATTTGGAGGATGGAATGAACGAACTGCTCCTTACTCTGCTACATCCTGAATACACCAAACTGGCAGGCGGACACCTGCAATCACCATTCCCACTTTGTAACACGTTCACTTGTTACACCATTGCGCCACACGACTGATGGGTGCAACTCATTTCCCCGAGACGCCCCACGTTTTAGGCTGAGCCCGTTATACCAAGAGCTTATGCTTACGCAGTGCCAACGCTTGGAGGCCACGCTCGCTGCAGCCTTCAGATGCTGCAACAAGTCAAGCGCTAAAAGGGTTTACTTGTGGGAATGGTAATTTAACTGCAAAAAACATATGCTACCGGTGGCCTGCACACCATGGCTAACAAAAATCCAAAGCCTGACGAGACGTGAACATGCAAACGGAATCAATCACAAACTATAACGAGTGATATTGATCTGATCGCTGAGAGGGCAAGTGAAATACGAACCCCAAGTTTATGGGTCAAATTTTTCCAGTGTTACTTTACCAAATAATGCAAAGAGTATAAAACCAAAGCAAGTTGTATGCAGCTTTTCTAGTAAGGCAGAACAAGCTTCTATGAAGAAATCTGGTTATGCATCCCTGCTTAATACCCAACCATTCAGACTCAAGTCGCTGTATGAACAGATGAATGGATATTCCTGCTCTGCGACAGCTTCTATTTTTACTTACTGAAATTTAAGGCTGCCTCCATTTAAGAGATAACTTTTAATTTATTTGCCCTATGGAAATTACTTACGATATTCTTCCAAATGGCGCAAAAGCTGCTTTTATATCTTCAGTTGTAATTTCTGGACTGAGGTCTCCAACAAAGACATGGAAATGGTCTTATCGGGAAAAAGAAAAAAAAACACGATTTTAAAGTTTGAAGACCACCCTTGAAAACATGAACAGCGTAACAATGTCACATAGCATTGACTTCTATTTATTAAAAACTACACGAAGACTAGAGTTCGCTATGAACTACAGAATTTACTCCTGTTCATAACAGATCCACTGCTTGGCAGCACTACAAAGTCAGCAATCTTAAGGGTAGTACTGTGACATATGGTATTTACATTTTGTATGTTATAAACTGCTTTTAAGACCAGTCAGCATTTACCATACAAAGCCTGAAATATTTACTTAATATGCCAAGACTACATGAAAATCTTATTCTTGGTACGCTAGCGTTAAACTTACATACAGTAGAGTGCACTAGCTAAGTAAAATGTCACCAACTGAAACGTCCAGTAGTTTCAAGACACGCAGAATATAAAACTCTAGAGCAGGACGTATTTTCAACCTAGCTACAACGTCTGGTTTAAAACCATATTTTGCGAAGAACAAATCAAAAAAATACCTTGCATTGCAACAGTTTGCTGTTAAAGAATTTGAGTTCTCAAAAGCCAACAGTTTTGGTTGCCCAGCCATTACACCATGTGAATCCATGTGAATTCAATGTATGTGAATCCATGTGCAAGTGAACTAAGACTGAAGGCAACAGAACGGAAACAGTAATCCCTTCAATTTATATCAGAGCCATTAAAAAAAACACGCACTGAAGAGAAATAAAACCCTAAGGATTTTTCCACTATGATCAAACAATATTTCACATACCATCTTATCAATATACAGACTTATTGGTACTACAGCAGGTAAGAAACTTTAAAGTCCACCTTGATGCTAATGTAGTTTAACCCCACCTCTCTAAAGCACTTCCAAGCTTGCTGAGAAAAGCAGCAATGCACAGGATTGCCATGAAGGGGGAACAAGGTACTCGGTTCTGGAGAAAATTTAGGTACTCCCAAGGAGCCTGTATGAAGTAGCGCATACACCAGCCTTCAAAGAGGCTAATAATTACGCCCTTAGAGCAGGGGAAAAAATTTTACAATCACACTCATAACAAATAGCTGAAGATTAGCACCAGAATTAAATAGTGGACAACAGATCGTATTCTGATGCAACAGGGAAACGAAAGGGAAGTCTTTCCATAAAAACAAACGAAAAAAGAACAAAAACCCCATTTACATAGCTTCAGGTGGTTAGTGAATACCCTTGAGAGATTTCATTTTATGTTTAAGAAGATACAATTACCTTGTGAACGCAGTGTGTTGACAACGGTACTACCTGATGACAAAGATTAGATTTGTTCTTAAGTTTATTAACACAAACACATTAAATAATATCTTAGGATTACGATCAAAACATTACTGCATATAATTGTACGATGCTTACTGTTTATGTTTAAAAACTACTCGTACAAATAAAACAGTTACTCAAAGCATAAGTGACACTTACTGCTGGTATCTTTCTTCTGGCTGCTGGGAGTTGTTGCCCAGTTCACTTTGACCTCCTGCAAATATTAGTTGCTTACGTTAGATCAAGCAAATCGGAACGAAGCTCAGACGCTACCAGCATTCAATTCTGACGCTACAGGGGAACCAGCCGTGCAAGTTTTGCTTGAAAGCTTAAGTTTAAGACAAGTTTCTCAGTAAAGGGTTCGCTCTTCCAAACCGCATTCTACTGGTTAAAAGAAAAGATGGTAAATAGACCTTGTCTAGATATTTTGTTTGGCTGGTTGGGCTCCCCCCCCCCACCCCCCGCAGGGTTAGGGAAAAGAGGAATGTTATCCCGATAGGCTCAGGAGAGTTACAGTATTCCTTATTTTCCTTATTCCCACTACCTTCGCTTCCTCCCCAACTCTATATCCCTACCTTCCTCTACACTCTTCCTACAACAGTAAAAAAAGCTTTTCCTGTTAGCGCTGCCACATTAAGAGCTCCGTTTGAACAAAGCGTCTGACATTTGCGATGTTTCCACTTCTTCTAGTGATATTTCACCCGCACAATCTGGCATAACCCGTGTTTTGCCACTGCAACTCACCCTGTAGATATGACAGCTTACCTTACCCATTATCTTCCGCCCATTCATAGCAGCTAGCGCTGCAGCTGCATGACGATGCTCATAGAACTCCACAAAACAATATGGATCATTTCCAGCTGTCTGATTGAAAAAAGAAGAAAAGACTTATGATGAAAATCTCTTCAAATGTTAGCCTCATTATTACACTTGGTGCCTTATTCATTACACCTAAATGTCTCAAAACGGGTAGCTTTTTTTTTTTTTTTTTTAACTGCAGTCTCAGAGAACAGCCAGCATACCAACACTGTTCCAGGAGGCTCAAGCTTTGCTTCAAAAAGATAAACGTATGGTGAAAAAGAAATTTTCAAATATAATTTAGAATATCCAAATATATTAATCTGTTCAATTCCCTTTAAAATATCCAAACATCTTTAAATAAAATCAGATATGAGGCAGAAATTATGCCTTAAGTACATGACTATGATCGCCAGTCTTATTTTATATACATATATATATGCACATATAATAACTATATTATATACAGCATTATAATATACACTATTCGTTCTCTAACATAATCATGCGTGTGTGTGTGTATACATATAAATACATATAAAACATGTGTTATAATACATCACGTGGCAGAATTCTGAAACATGCAACTATGACCTGAAGTTGTTAGCTACAAGGAGTTGGGAAATAATTAAGTAAAGGCTCTTACATCCATTATCATTTTGCAGTTTTTGCATGGTCCAATCTGGCTGAACAGCTGGAGGATTAGAGCTTCAGTCACATCTCTTGACAGGTTCCCCACATATCTGCAGGATTAAACCAAAGGTTAGAAATGCCGCTTATTCATTCACTATGGAGATGAGAACTGGCAACTTCCATTGCCTTGCAAGAGAATTATCGATGGTCCAAGCCAACAACCACCTTTACATCAGCACAACATACAGCTTTAGAACTTCTCCCCCCTCAAAAAAGCCTTTCAGGAAAACTGTGTCTTCCAAAAAAATCCCACCCTTTGATCTAGGGCAATATTCCAGTATCATCCTACCAGACCACTGACTAGAGTTGAAATAAAAAATAAAAAACAGCAGACAACACTCTCCCTGTATAACGCTTCTCAGGAGGGTAGAATTGACAGCTCGGGAAACCAAAGTCACCTCTTGCTTAAAAAACAACTAGCCACAAGTCTTGCAAACAAATTCCCCGTAGAGTCCCTCCAGACTCTGAGCGTGCAGCTCTCCACAGGATCCCTGGGAGCCGGAGGCAGCAGGCCTCTCCAGGTGGCCAGAGAGGCCTCCCACGAAGATCTCTTCCTGGGATCCGGGCCTTGGGGAGGGCCGCCTGGCACAGCACCTTACTGACACCCTCAGACCTTCCTGTTGTGCCAGGCAGAAACTGTATCTGCAGTCTCCCACCGAGGTCTCCTTATCCATGCACGGCACAAACACGTAGCAAAACGTAGCTCTGTAAGATAGAGGCTGAGAGCGTAAACACGAGGGCCAGGAGAAAGAGACAAGGAAAACAAAGATAAAGCCCAAATTCAGCAACTTTCTTAAGCTCGCGTAATCTGGAGAGTGCATGGTGCGTGATGGTTCGGAAGAACTACAACCCAGGACAAAAGAGAAAACCTCACGCGTTCACCCATCCTCTCCGAACACCTAGCACAGCAGCTCCCGACCAACACAGATCCAAACAAAACCGACCACCGAGGGCACAGGCAAGTACGCGCCAGGATCCCAAGGGAGAGGGACGCAAAGCAAACCAGTTTAGGAAACACTGCCTGAAACACTGGGAATCGGAGCCCTTCGCAGAGCCAAGTACCACGAACTCCGTCTCTCCTAGCAGAGGCATTTGGGAACTGAAACGCAGACCGCGGTAGTAACCCACTCAGATCAACCACTGCGAGCGCCGAGAACCAAAGCCATCCTGACAGGCCAACCTGCTCTTTGGTAGCTGAACAAACACTGCCCACAGTTGTTCCTCCGGCATCCAGCCCTTCCAGGTTAGCCTGCAAAACCAAGCGCGCGACAGGACTGTATGCCGAGTCTCAGAACAGCAGGGTAGAAATTATTAACTGAGAGCGGGAAGTAGCAGCCCTTGTCCTCAGTACCACTGACGGTCTGCACGTCTAAAACCTCGCCCCAGTTCAAAGCTGAGCAGAAAGCCAGATCCGGAGAGCTAAGCCTATTCATTTGATTTCTGCATACAGAAATATCCGTTAGGATAATTGTACGCAGTCATTCAGTAACCACAGTCTCCCTAGCTGCCCTAATAGCTCAATCTGGTGTTTAGCAAGCGTATTACACAATATTTAGAAGTCAGCCCCCCTTAGTAAAGGGGTATGGCTCGAAACCGCATTTGCCTGAAACAAGTGTGCTCAGGTGTGGGCATCCCCCTTCCTCCCTCCCTGGAAAGGCCCAGCCTAATCCAACACCAACTCTCCGCTCTGGCAGCAGCCAACCCCCTGCTCTAGTCTGGGACTTCTATGATATTTTTACAATCTCAGCAACGGAGAAGAACACCAATCCACACGGGAAGATTTTTTTTTTTTTTTAAATCCCAAGTTACAGGATTTTTAAAAGCACCTAGGGAAAACAGCTCGCAGAAACCTCAACTCCGAAGGCATGTAGCAGCTCCCTTCCACAGAGGGAGGTCATGTGGCAAACCACGGCATCTGCCACGAGAACCGGAGCCAAATCATTCTGCTGAAACCACGTCAATCAAAACAGCAGCCTTCCTAGTTTTGATGCAACAGTCGCGGAGATGTTGTAAGAAAACCAAAAGGCAGCAAAGGAAGCATAAAGCAGCAACTTCTCGCGCTCACTCGAAGTTCGGAACGCCCTCACTGAAAGGCTGGCGGCTCGCCACTGTTTGGTTTAGCAGCGGAGAGAATGGGAGAACAGGACGCTCGCCTCTACTTTTCTGCCAGAAATGACACAGTAGGCTACGTCTAAATAATTGTAACAACTCCTTTAGGTATGAGTCAGAAACGTGCTCAATTCTACATTGGTACGCGCTCTAAGTTACACCAGAATCAGATCTCAGTGGCTTATTACCACTCAATAAAGCAAGTACTTCCTAGACTGCTGCTGTTGTTTCTTAAATACAGGAGGTTTTAGTGCACTTCCGTTAAGACAATTAACTTGGTGCTTGATAACGCTTTGACGTTCTATCCCCATATCAAGTTCGACCAATAGGGATAACTAGTTAGAGCCTCCCCTCCTCCTTTTTTTAATATTATCGCGTCTGGGATAATGAATAAGCCAAGAGGCTAAGCAATGAAGCCCTAATATGACCTTCTAGCTCTAGATTTAGTAACAGTTTATTTGTAACTGAAAGTCTCCTAGAAACAGTGTCTACCTTTGCACTAACACTGGATTTTCACCTTGTTAATTAGATAGTCATCTTATTAAGCACTGCCCGTCTGAATGTTTGATTTAGCTGGGGGGGAAAAACGCTTTATGGAAGCAGACTGACAGCCCCGTGAATCTCTGCATGACCAGGACTTTCAAAATCCAACCCCAAAGGATCAATTGCAGCAACATATAGATTATATATATATATATATATATAATTCACACACACGTGTGTGTGCGTATATATATATTTATATGTGTGTGTGGACAACTGCATACTATATGTTGTCCTGTATTTGTTTCTGCTCAAAGATAAAGCCCCCCACCCGCAGACGTCCTGAATGTCTTTAAAAATGATAAAGATGTCCCGTAATGGGTGCACAAGTAGGAATGACCCATAGAACAACAGCGCTCATGTAATACAAAGTCAAAAGCATTTTTCTTTTATTATTTCTCATTGTAATCTTACTGTCTGTAGCTGTGTACATCTGCTACCCGCTCTTTGCAGCCAGCAACTGTGGAAAGGTTTTTCAACCCACTAACGGACAAAATACAACAAAATCCCGAAGCAATATCAACCAGACCAAGCTTTACGGGAAAAAACAAGGAGCTGTTCACTCCCAGAGTAAGGATTCTCATGTTATTTTATTTGGTGCATTCAGCAGCAAGTTCAGGCTACGCTCTCTGTGCTACATTTGGCCTGCCTTTCCAGAGTCTTCTGCCAGAATTTCTTTGCAGCTCTGCTTCCATGTAACAGAGACACGGGCTGATAAAACATACTTGGACCTTGTCCTGTAGTAGCTGTACAGGAAATAAGTAGGTGGCTAGGCAATACAGATGCAATCTCATGTGTGACCCTAGGCTAGGTAGGGCCAGCTAATACTCCACCAGGGAAGAAAAGCTCTCTTCCACATGAGAACTGCATTGTCTCTGCACCTTTCCTAGCCCTCTCCATGTTTACTGCTGACTGGA